AGAAGGGGGGAAGGAAAGAAAGAAAAGAAAGGAGGAAGGAGAGAAATTAAAAAGAAAAAGGAATAAAGGAAGGAAGAAAAGAAGGAAGAGGAAAGGAAAGGAAAGGAAAGGAAAGGAAAGGAAAGGAAAGGAAAGGAAAGGAAAGGAAAGGAAAGGAAAGGAAAGTGGAAGATAGTAGTCTAATGTATCCCAGCACCCAGTGTGCTGTGAGTGAGAAGTCTAATGTCAATATAATTTGAAGTTTTTCTTTCCCTACTCTTCTCCACAATCTTTTATAATTTTCGTTACCCTTGAAGTTCTGGAAACATATTTCTGGAAACAAATGAAGTATTAACATATTCTCATTTGTGCTGCTTGGCTTTCAAAAGCTCCTAACAATCTGCAGCCTTGTTAAGCTTTCTGCAGCTCAAATTGTTTTCTGTCATGTTTCAAGTGTCCGTCCTTCATCTTCTCTGTCCCTTCCACCCTGGGATTCCTATTAGATGTCAGAACACCAAGATTGACCCTCAATGTCTCCACTTTTTCAATTTTCATCTTTGCTCTATAATCTGAAATAGTGACTTGAATAGTCTACAAATTACTAACGTAGTCTCCATATACATTCTTTGGCAATCATGTTTTTAATTTCGATAGTCTCTTGCTCTTATCTTCTTTCTCATAGCAGGATTTTTATATACAATACAAAAACATATATACAAATTTTTCCAATATCTCTTAGGACATAGATTGTTTTTACATTATCTTCTGCTCCCTGAGTTTTCTTACTTCTGGAGACAGAAGCACTGGCTAATCTTGTTAAATTTTCTCGTAAGTCTGGTGAATCTTGATTATCCATTTTTACTTGTGAATTGAGGCCAAGTTGGTTGTAAGAAGCTGGCATGGCTTGCCTCTGCAGATGTAAAGATGAGTCCTTAAGTAAGACTCTCCTTTTATTTGAAAGGCTAGCTGTGAAAGAGCTGAAGAATAGTGAGGCATGTCACTGGCAGCTTCACTTTAGGGTGTCTGTCCATGGTACAAGCAAACAGATAGAGGACAAATCCCCACTTTGCCCTTCCCTCTTCACTGACTAAAAAAAAACAAACAAAAACTTTATTCTGACAATGGTGAGCTTTAGTATATTTTCCCCTTCAGCAGAATTCCTTATGCCTATTGTGAAATTCAGAATCACCACAGTGTTTGCTCTGATTCCCCTCTCAGAGTCCTCCAACAACACTCAGAGTCCATCTCTTGGAAAGTTTTAACTAGAAATCAACCTACTATATTCAGTTCCAACTATACTCAACTGGAAGCAGATAGACTCCATTGTTCTGATGCAGTTATGCACCCTCCTCCTCAAACTCTACCCATCCTTTCTGATGCTCAGTGTTTGGTGACATATCCAGACAAATGGGTTTTGTTTCAGTAAGTTAGTATCACTGTGACAGGGGTTGAACTGAAAAGTCACCAACTACTCCTTCAATGAAAACTTTAAGTAATTTCTAATCCATAAATTCATCAGAAGTAACTCAGAAATGGCAGGAATGACAGGAAATTGACCCAGAACTTCTTTCCTAAGTATAACGCTAGGCTTTTTGCACACAACCAGGAAAAAAACAAAAGGGTTCCCATTCCAATTAAAAACATTTTACCCTACAGATGTACATGTGGAGTATATAAAGAAGAAATAAACATACTGCCACAGGATGGGGTAGATGCACTTTGACCTTGTATTTTGGTCTATTTTTCTCTTTGTCTAATTGTCTCATGCTGACAGGCTCATCTCAATTTTTCTTTTGACATAATCAATACTATGGTTACCATGGAATAGTAGTACACTACTTCTTATCTGTAAAGATCTTTTTTAAAAGTACTGTACATTCTGGCTTCTTTTTAATGGTGTGAAGAACACAGGAAGCAGACTGACTTCAGGGATAGCAATTCATAGAACTCAGTGACAACAGAACAGAGTACAAAGTGTCCAAAGACTCTGTACAAGTTCTTTTATAAAATATATTTTCTCCTTTTCTCACAGCAGTATCTTACAGACCATTAAATTTCACACAATTTCTATTCATTTTTCATGTTAAAATATGATTTATAACCCTGAGTAGAACTATCACAGAATTCTGCCCTATAAGTCAACTTCTACTATTTGATAATATATGACTTTTAGAAGACCACCAAGTCATGGGCCATGAACCTAGCCACATAAATAATTTCAAATGGCTCAAATATGTACACTTTTACAAATGGAAAAAATAAAGCTATGAAAACATCACAAAGAATAAAATAAAATGATCAAAGACTGCAACCGTTCCCATTAAGCAAGACCTTTAACTAGACTTCACAACCAAAATGTAAAAAGAAAATTAAAGTCCTCAGAGTTGTAAAACACAAATAAATCAAAACACAACAAACACGACTCTATCCTTACTTCCAAATATGAGAAAAGCAAGCAAGTAACAAGGATTTGAAAGAGGCACTAAGTTTCACGAAATTCAATTTGTTAAGCTCATCAGTGAGGGCAGGTTTTATGGAAGAACTTGAGGTTCTCTAAAATCAAATTGCTAAGCTTTTGCTCTTTGGCATTTCCTATTTTATAATTCAGTCAAAAAACAACTGACATACCTCATACATAGTATTTAGAGTTAACCCATTGAAGGTGAGATATAAACTATTTAAGCTTTTATCTTAGACCTTCTCAACATATCTAAAAATCACCAGTCTTTGTGGCAAATGTTCAGTTCACATACCTAAGTATTTAATCTTGCTATAAACCCTCAGCCTTACAGGTAGAAACACAGAAAGAAAAGGCATTCTCTTAGGTCTTCAAACCACTAGCAAGTAGCCTTGATTTCCAAAACAATATAATCTTCTGTCAGGTATTCTCTCTACAAATATTTATAAGAGATACTATTAAGCATCAGATAACTCCAATACGGTTTTTGCATAAATCTCAGCACACCTATTACATATACACATACCACCTTTCAAGGTCCCCCAGAAGACAATTGAGAAGTTCTCTACATTTTTTGCCTATTTTGCATATTCTCACTTCTATTAGCAGTAAACTATCTTTCCCTTTGGGGAACCACCCCACTCTCATTCCACATGAACCTGGAGACACAAACAATTTTAGGGCTCTGACATTTCACCTATTTCTCTATTCTACCCAGGACAGTCAATCAAAGTGCCACATTATCCCACCATTATGGTTGCTCCAGTGTGTATACATGATCCAAGCAAGGCTAATCTGAGCATTCTCTACTTCTTTCTTCCTTTTGGATTCTGAATATAAGGCAATATGACTTTAGTCTTCCAACCAATTTACAGAGGGAGGAAAGAAATTGCACTTTGAAAACACTGTCCAAGCAATGATTGTCTGTCCCAAACACTAGAGCTAATAAAAGCTAGAAGAAAATATTTCAAATGTTCCCAACACAAAAAAAGTAAAAAAATGTCTGAGGTGATGGATGTGCTAATTACCTTGATTTGATCATTACACACTATATACATAGATCAAAATATCACTCTGTATCCCATAAATATGTACAATTATATGGGTCAGCTAAAAATAAAAAGTCAAAATACAACTGTTTATATCAGCTTAAGATGGGTTTCTGTTCCTTGTAACCAAAAGTATCACCCTAGAATTTCAAAGACCAAATGCGCTTCAGGAGGGGAGGGAAGGGAAGGAGAAGGGGAGGAGATAAGAGGGGAAGGGAAGGGAGAGAAAGAAAAAGAGAGGGAGAGAGAGAAAGAGATGTAATATATATTTTTCATCAGTGGTATACACAGATCAAGGTAATCTACTGTATGATTTCAAGTGATCCTTCTTTAGATAATCTCCAGGCACTATCTGTGTATTCAATATTCTAGAGAGATTACCCTACAATGTGTCAATAGTGAAAGAAAACAATGGTTAGAAGCAGGATCATTACAGAAAGTAAAAGGAGAAAGAAAGAGGAAAGCAAGTTTAACTGATTCACATGATGTATACACCATGAAACAAAGGTACTTGAGATCCAATTACAGAATCAGAAGAGGTTCAGTCACACTGAAAACTTTTTGTGAGATAACAGCAGGTGTTTACGAGACAAAAAAGGAATAAGCATGACAATTTGGGGGTAAAAGTGTATTCCAAATACATTAATTCATATCTTAACCACTTTTACCCTACCTCTGCCACCTAATTTTTTCCTCTAGGCACCTATAATTTTTCCACTAAGAAATGAATATTTTCTTCCCCATGCTTGAAAAGAAACACAAGCACAGACACTGATTAATCAACAGAGAATAATTAAAATTTCATACCTACTTGGTTAGAAAACCCTCCCCTTCACATGAAATGCATTATAGAGATTCTATTCACTGGAAAGAAATAACAGATTACTATGCTAAATATGTGGTTAGGTTAAAAGGCAGGTTAAAAAAAAAGTCTTATTAATGCCTGATTGCTTTCTCATTACATTTTAAGTTCTGTGCAGATAGAAAGATTGCTTACCCTCACATATCAGCATGCAGATCAGCACCATATCATATCACAGACTCAATATTTTTTAGTTTATTAAATGACTGAATGAAGTCAGGATCAAAGTACAAGAAGTTAAAAGGATATTAATATACAAGTACATTTATCCTAAATTTATTAATCTGGATCTACTTTAAATGATCACTATTAGAGCTAATGAATATGTATTTTGGATTAGGTTACAAGAGTTAGTAAAAGCATTAAAAATTAACAAATACACACACACACACACAAAAAGGAAGAACCAGAATATCACCATGTGCAGTTTTCCTTGCCAAGCAAGCTTTCATTAAAGAAAAGTTTGCACCATTAAATATACATCAACTCAGAGTAAGAAAAAAGAAGAAGAAATTGGGAAGATAAAAATAGCAACAAAAAACCCCACAAAATTTAAAATTTTCATATAAATAATCCACAAAGTAAGAAAAAGTCTATAATTTTAATAATTAAGCTCTCCCCCCATTACTGTTCAATTATTCTCTTGCTTTACCTGAGAGGAATCTGCTTGAGCTAATTCTGAAGTGACCTTAAGTATCTGGTGAAGATTTTGTCCTTTATCTTCAACAAGGAGGTGAGCCAGCAGAAGAAAAACATGCACAGGGATTGCTGTAGTAATGGGCAGCAATGACTCTACTGAAGCCAACCAGTCACTCACTGCAGACTCTTCTCTCATTACTTCAAGAATCCTCAAGGTTGTAAATATTGAACCATACATGCTGGTTACAGGGAACACAAGCCTGTAAGAGAGCTAAAAAACAAAAAAGGCATGAACACAGGAGACAAACATATTTTCCAGAAATACATTTCTGACATCCTTACACTTCATTGCAAAAAATCATTCTTTCCCAAAAAATGAACACAAACTCTGAATTCCTGCCAAATTCCTCTCTGCATACATTTGAGGTACTAAGAGAAAACAGTTGTTAGGTGGAACTCTAGAACACTTTATCCCAATTTTTTCTGATATTTATCATTCATTTCCAGTGATGGCAGAAAAAAAATAGATCAATATACAAGATTCAGAGGCAACAGAGTTTGGGAAAAGTCATTATCACTGAAAAAGCATTCACCAATGAGAAGCAAGATAGAAAAAACACTGTATTTGCCCAACTCTAGGCCCTTGTCAGAGGCATCCCAAGGCAGATGGCAGACTTGGACAGAGGACAATTCATTTTTGTAACAGACAGTATGTTGATAGGGACAAAGTTGGTTCAAGTGGAGCCTGGGAATTCATTAATAACTGTGAATAACTTCTGCAATAAGAAATAGCCTGACAGCTTCAAACTGAAACAATACCCAGAGATGATATTATGCTTAGGTCAATCTGATAAATGGCTCCTCACAGAAATAAATTAGTTCAGTCAGGGCCAGAAAGTGAATAGAACCCTTCTAAGGTGAGTTCTATATATAGATGGCTCGGGGGAACATTAAAGAATCAATAGACAGACATCGCCTGCTAATAAAGTAATTCAAATCATGTACAGTGTGACATGACAAATCAGAAATCTCTACAACTTTCCAACTATTAGAGGATGACTAATATAGGTAACAACTGAAAGGATTGGAAGTAAAATTAAGTAAAATAAAAATTAAGTAAAATAAAAGTAAAAACTTTTATTATCGGCTTTATTAATATATAATTCACATACTGTAAAATGTACCCTTTTAAAGTATACAACTCAGTAAACACTTAGTAATTTGTAGAATTATATAACCATCATCATCATCTAATTTTAGAACATTTTCACCACTCCAAACAAAAAACCCATACCCTTTAATAGTCATGTCTCACCTCCAACCCCTAGCAACCACTAATCTACTCTGTTCCTATTCTGGCCATTTCATATAACAGGAAACAATATATGGTCCTTCATGATTTGATTCTTTCACTTAGCACATCTTCAGGTTCATCACTGTTACAGTTTTTATCAGTACTTCATTCCTTTTTATTACCAAATAATATTCCATTGTATTAATATCCTATATTTCATTTGTATGTCAACTGATGGACATTTGGGTTGTTTCCACTTCTTGGCTATTATAAATAATGCTGTTAGGAGCATCTCTGTGAAAGTTTTTGTGAGGATAGAAGTGTTCACTTCTCTTGAGTATATGCCTAAGAGTGGATATGAAATTTACTTGAAAATAAAATGTCACTGTAAAAACAAAAGAGGACATTCTATCTGTATTGATATAAAAAGATTCGCCCAAGTTAAAAAAAAAAGGCATAGTCAGTCTGCCTGAAATGCCACCAATTTTTTTTTTAAGAGAGTGAGAAGAGAAAGACTATATATTCATATTTGCTTGTATATGCAAAGAAAAGTTTCTGGGAAATACAGAATAAATTGGCAACTGCTAATCATATTCTACTTGGGAGAGTGATAACTGGACAACCGAAATCATTGGCAAAAAGAGGGCTTCACTGTATGCAATTTTATACTTTCTGAACCATTTGAATTATTATTTTTTAAAAATTACAAATTTTAAAATTAAATAATATATAACTTTAGATAGTTCTCTCTAAAAATGTTTTTCTTCCCAAGAAGATGGAATTCATTAGTGACTTATGCCAAGTTCTTTAGACTAATGGCAATCAGCATTGGATGTAAGACTTAAAAGACCAAATCTTCAGAAAAACCATATCAACTAGGAGTCATGCAATTTTTCTAAACCTTACATTTCGCATTTGCAAAATTTAAGTAATGACTACCTTCCTGGCTGGGTTATCAAGGCAGATAATAAGATAATATCCATAAAGCACACAGCACAGTAAGAAATTACAAAATACAGAGAAATATTATTGCTGTCATTTTCAGGAAAGAAAAATAAAACTAATGGATATGAGTATAAAAGAAAATTAATTTGGAAATCATTATAAACCACAAGTTAAGTCAAAACAGCAACATTACAGAGACATGTAAGAGTAAACAATGAAACAGAAAAGCAATCCTAAACTTATTCAAGTGTTATGTCCAGGTTTAGGCTTTTTGTTTGTTTGCCTAGGGTCAGGGCAGCAGGAGAAATTGTTCCATTAAGTGACAGCTGCCACTGGCACAGGAAAGGATGAAATCAAGGGTGTTCTCTCAGCACGGGCTTCCAAATCCTGACCCAGCCCTGTAGCTTGGGGGAGAACTGTGAATGTGCTAGTTGGTTCAGTCTTTTAGAGGAGAAAACAGGTGTTTGAAAATAAAAGACAGATTTATGTTATATGAATTACATATCAATAAAAAATAATGGAGAGAAAAGAAACCATAGAAAAATACATTTAAACAAATATTAGATGGTTGTAAAACATCTTTTACAGGTGTAAAAAAAAATCTTTATTTTAAAAAGGCTTTAATAAAAATGTTCAGGTATATGAAGTAGTAACAATAAGACAGATATCTGAGTGCGTCTTTGACTAAAGAGGCCTGAAAAAGAAATTGTGAATATTGGTGAACAATATAGATTTTCATTAACTGTAAAGAATGACATTCACCTACAATAGTAACTAAATAATTAAAACAGGTTTAACAAAACTGGAGAAAGGGAGTATGCAAACTTAAATTTAGAAACCCTTAAAACTAGGACAGGTTTTTCCTAGAAGGGATATTAATCACCCATCAGACAAGAATCAGAAGACTGGACTAGATAAAGTCTCAAGAGAGCCATTTTGGGTCTATATCTCCATGGAATCTAGACAAGAGTTGAGAGACTTGGGAGTAGATGGTTATAACCAAAAGATACCTCAAACTATCCCCAGTCCCATATTTTTCAGAATATGATGACAGAAGCACAGATCTAGGCATTACTAATTCCTTTTTAGCTGTCAACCAAAATCTCTTAAACCAGTTTACTTCAACTTGCTATTAATTTACTGTTCATTTCCCTGTAAACCTGAAATGCTACTCTTATTTACAATCCAAGTCCAGTTCAAAGATGATAAGTCATTGTGCAAAAAAAGAAAAAAGAAAAGAAAATGAAAGTGTAGGTAATAGGATATAGGCTCTAGAATTAAATAGCTAAAATCTTAATTCCAACTCTACCCTTCAATACCTGTGTAATCCAGACAAGTAAATTAAAATCTCTAATCTTGGTTTCTAAACATCTAATTTTGTAAAGTGAATACTTTAAGAATACCATCCGGGAAATGCAGATGAAAACCACAATAAAATAGTCTTTCATACTCACTAGGAAGGATAAAATAGAAAAAGACAGACAATAAATCACAACAGTTGGCGAGGATAGGGAGAAATAGGTACCCTCATACACTGCTGGTAAGAAATGCAAACTGTTGGTGCAGCCCCTTTGGAAAACAATCTGGCAGTTCCCCAAACAGTAAAACAGAGTAATCATACTATCTAGCAATTCTATTCCTAGGTATCTACACAGGGGAAATAAAAACATTTTCACACAAAAATGTGTATGTGGCTGCACGTGTCAATAGTATTAATAATAGCCAAAAGTGGAAACAATCCAAAAGTTCATCAACAAATAAATTAAAAAACTTTTTGATGTATCCATACGATGGAATATTATTCAGTCATTAAAAAAATGAAGCATTGATATACCACAGCATGGTGAACCTTGAAAATATTATGCTAAAAGAAAAAAAGGCAGTCATAAAGGTCCATGCATTATAAAATTTTATTTAAAGGAAATGTGCAGAATAGACAAATCTATATAGAGACAGAAAGTAGATTAGAGGTTGCCTAGGCTAGCAGCTAAGGGAGAAATGGGGAAATTGGGCCGGGGGATAACTAAGGGATGCAGGTTTTTTCTGGGTAACAAAAATATTCTAAAGTTGACTGAGATAATGAACACACTAAAATGAACACACTGAATTGTACACTTCAAATGACTGAAGCATATGTATATGAATTACATTTCAATAAAACTACCACAAACTAATTGGGTTTCCACTGCATGACACTTGGTAACCTATTTACCTTCTCTGTGTCTCTGTTACCTCTGAGGTAAAATGAGACCAACAATATCACCTAACTCAATGAGAATAGGGTGAAATCAAATGAGTTAATATACAGCAAAGCATTTAAAATGAAGCCTGCACATACGAGGTGCTCAATATACAACCCCATGAAGAAGGTGCTTTGTTAATCATTTTGCAAGGGTCCTGAGAAGTTCAACCATTAGTCCAAGACCATGTAGATAGAAACGGGAAAAATAAAAATACCTATTTCACAGCTATTACGAAAAATAAGAGTTGACCACACAATATTGAACCCATGCTCAATAAATGTTAACTTCAGCTCTAAGTAGGACAATGACAATTCATGCACATTTTATGATTTTTTTAAAAGACAATTATTCTAAATGATTTCTGCTTACTACATACTACTTCAAAGCAACTTCAAATAATAGCTACTTGGCTTTATTATCAGGGACCCAAAAGTACCGTACTTAATTTTTAAAAAAATATACATGAGATTTAACAAACAACTGGTAGACTCTAGCTCAGTCAAGCTACCTCTAAATCTTTCTGCTGTAAGTTTTACAAAGATAAATGTTGCCCTCCTACACAATTACAGGAATTTAGCTTTTAATTTCCTTTCTCACTTCATCTCACCCGCCCAATTTTTCTCCCCTCCAAAAAAGTTTTTCTGATTCTATTTTACTTCCTGGGTCAGGTACTCGACATATTACCTCTCAGCTCCACATCCAACTTTCTTTGGCTTTGTGAGGTACTAGAGCTGTACCTTGCCAAGATTTCTCTTTTGCCCTCTGGTACAAAGGAAGACCGTGTCAATA